CAAGTGCATCTCCAGCTTATGTTCTCCTCCTTGCTGCCATCGATCCTAGCTATGGCTAGGGTTGGTGGTAGCCCTTTGCTCCTCTTGTTTTCCCTTTCTTTCCTTTTGTCCCTGCTGGTTTTTTGCCTATACTGCTGACTCTGGTTTCCCTTCCTCAACTCCCCTTTCTTCCTTTCCTTTTCCTCCACCTACTTTGTTTTCATCACTCCAAACCCACTAGGCTCACTCTTCCAATGCTCTCATCCTCTAGATCGGCTTCCACTAATCCACACCGTGAATGCGAATCTTCGCGATTCCCGTTTAGGAGGGAGATGTGTAGAGCTTCGGATTTTTTCGATGCTCAGGTGTTCTCACCACCTTCTTGCCTTGACTTGGCCTTGTTGCCTCCGTTGCTCGTGGGTTGTTTCTTGCGAGCTTCCTTCGATTTGTGGTGTCGATCTTTGATGTGCTCTTTAGCGGTTGTTGAAGCCTTCTTTTTAGCCACTTTGAGGGCTCGATTTGGCTTGCTTTCTGGCAACTGGTTCGAGTCTGGAGGTCCTTCGGATGGCAATAGCGGCAGAGGATGCAAGCTGTTGGTTTTTTTTTCTGTTTTTTGTTGGCCTTGGTTTTGTTGTACTTTGGTCCATACTTTTGTTGTTGTGTTTGTGTTGTATGTGGGTCTCTTTCTTGTAACTCTGTGTGTTGTTAGTAATAAAACTTGCAGCCCAATTTCCATAAAAATAAAAATAAAAAAAAACGTGAAGAACTAAGACCATCTTCAAATTATCAAATTATAACATTCAAATTATAATTGATGACGGATAACTCTTATGTAAAATTTGTATTTCTCTAACCGAATTGTCAAATGTTATTTTCTTATTAATATAGAGGTTTAAATGGTTTTATTTATTAAAAAAACAAATTGTTGAATCAAAAATTTTATTAGTTGAAATATTAATGGAATAAGAGACCACTATAAAAATTAATTAATCACAAAAATTTCAAATCCCGTCAACAAATAATTTTTGACGTTAAATATGCACAATAGCATCTTCACCTATGTTTTTTTTTGAGATGTTCTGAGTAGCACAATGAAAACTTATGCTGAGCACTCAGACCACGTCATCCATCGGAAAGCTCTCACAAAACTATGCGATCCCTGAATTTAACACAACTAGAAAGACACACCATCTAATCACAACTTTTTGCTCCTTTTTCATCACACGGCTTGCTATTATTGCCAAAAATTAGGCGTATCCACTGTGTGGAATAAAAGGAAATTAGGCATGTAGGCGTATCCAATTTGTTCAATGTCACCATTCATACCTAGAAATCATCAGCAAATGGAGGGCTACTAAACTAAGGCCATCTTCAACCGAAAGAATTAAACATAGTCTCACTCAAAATTATAGCTCTACAAAAAATTATTTTGAATAAACAGTATTAAGTCATACTCATATACCATCTTCAACTGAATAGGCTAAAATATAACCCCCTCAATAATCTACTAGTTTTTTATACTTTAAATTTATTGGTTAATTTAATTCAACTACCGTTGGACGTTTTCATATATAGTTGTTGCATTTGAATCAATTATTGCAATTGAAAAGCTGTGCCTCAAAAAAAAAAAGGCTAATATGACAACTACATTTAGCCAGCCTGATGCCCTTTTGGCCTGATTAGCTTCATAGAATTATATCCAGCCATCGGTTAGAAATGAATTTCTGAACAAACCAGATTATTCTTTGATTTTTGGACCTTTAGCCCTGCATTGGAGATGACCTAATTGTCTTTCGAGGTTGTAGCTATTTCGTACGAAAAAAACTGGCAGAAGCCCAGGACCGAGTGGCACCATATGGAAACCCTTGATAGGCAAACCGTAAGCCCAATTGACAAGCCAGGACATAGTTGAAAGAGCTTTTTCTCCAACAGAGCTTGAAAACCGATACTGCACACACATCTCAAGTCTCTCCCGAATGAAGTTCTTCAAATATCTAATTGATATCCCAAGTTTTCAATCCTTTTGCCCTATTTGTCTGTTTGGAAATTCGACAAGGGACACAACTCTTTGGTATATACTTGAAGTTTTAAACCATACATCTTTCACCTGCAAAATCTATGCTTAAGGCCACTGACATCTACCTAATCTTACTCCGAATCCTAAATTTTCCCAACTTCCTTTGCAGTCATGACCCTTGCCCCGAAATCTAACTATAACAAGTGCAGAGTTCCTCAGGGTCGGGGTACGTGTGTCATGGGGCATTTCCTTCCTAAAAGTTTTTTACACCTTGAGCAAACAAACGCAAAGCTAACATTGATATGATACGAGAAGGTAAGGGTTAGCTCGGCATAAGAGGCAACTAAGTACAAAAACTATGTCGAACTCGGAACTGAAATATTTTTAAGGGTACTGAACCTGAATTCCATATTCTCTAAAACCAAAATAAGACCTTCCTTAAGCATTTCAGACGATAGATTTGCAGCATTTTGTCAGCTACACCAATGAGTTCACCTCTAACAGTAACTGCAAATAACAATATCCAAGTCTAATGTAATACTCAACAACCTTGAAGGTCCAGTTTTTACCTGTGCACTTGGATGATCAATACAAACTTGAGGTAGATAATAGTTTGCAATCTGCGCATTACATCCCACGGAGTCTAAGTCCGTAATGCATACCTAAACCTAATCTGAAACCAGATTACTATTCAACGCGCCTTCTCCATCACCACCTAACTCACATTTCCAAAACTATCCATCCACACAGTAAACTACAATAAAGAAACACGAATCAAACATTCCCTACTAACATGAAATCTACGAACGTGCATGAAAATCCGGTTACTAGACAACTTGTCTCCTGAATTTGAATGCTAAGAAAGTATAAGACTTGCAACCGAAAGAACAACAGCAAGCAATGCATTACTTGTTTTGGCCTAAACCATATTGCATAAAGCTCGAACAATAAAGATACAAGCTTTTAGCTTCTACAATCCAAGATAACCGCCATATGCATAATCAGCACAACGCCATTACGGCCTAAATTAACCTACCATGGTTGGTGCTATCCGCACACCCCTTTTTTACCTCCATACACCCTCTCAAATTCCGGCTGTCACGTCGAATGAATTGAAGAAGATGCATAACCGAAACATGTCACAACATAAAACCTAAATGAATTGAATTGAACAGCGCTATCCCATCATAAAACATCTAATTTTCCACAACAAAACATGTCACAAACGCATAAAACAAAAATTATTTCTGCATAAATGAAAATGATTGAAAAGCATTAAATTCATAATCTTTAGGAAATCAAGGTGTGAACAAACACTACCCATAATTCCGAATCCCTAAAACCCTCCCTCCTCCACAGCCCCAATTCCCAATTCAAAACGAAGAAACAAGAGGCATTTTAATCTTCCTTACTTGTCCGCCATTGACGCAATCCAACCCGCAGCCGCACTGCGGGCACTCATAGAAATTGTCGATCGGAAACGCCGCCGACGCGATCCCCACCGAGAAGTCAAGGTTGTCGCCGCTCCGGGTGACCTCGACGATGTTGAGCCACAGGAACAGGACCTTGACGCTCACCCCGGTCAGCGAGGAGAGCTTGTTCTGGGAGATCGTGCCGGTAATAGTGGACTTGTACTTGAGCTGGTACGACCCTTCCAGCGAGAAGCTACAGGAGCCATTCAGATACGCGCGGAATATTCCGTTGCCGTCGAGATCGTATCCCGTGACGCCCTTGGGGAGCAGACCCATCGGAAAGTTAAAGTCTTCGATTGCATCGTACACAGACCGCGATTCACCACCGTTGGCAGCGGTGGAGAGGGTTGGTGACGTGGAGAACGGTGATAGGAGGACGATGACGGCAATAATTGCTGTGCGTGACATGATTTTTTTCCTCCCGCTCCGAAATTTTGTTTTGTTGTTATTTTTTTCCGGTAGAATATTTGGTACAGAGAGTGGGTTAGGTGTGGGTTGACTCACAGCGGTGGAGAAGACAAGTTTCGATAAAGTTTCGTGGAATGAAAAAAATTATTAAAAAAAAAGGTGTGATATCCGCACATCCCATTTTACTTCTCACACACCCTTCTAATTTTCGATCGTCGGATCGGATGAATTGAAGAAGATCAACAGATAGAAATTAACAAGGGTGTGTGAGAAGTAATTTGGGGTATGTGGATAGCACACCCCAAAATTTTTTTTGAATTTTAACAATAACGATAAAATAAAAGGTAAAATGAATAGTATTAAAATTAATTTTTTAATGTAAAAATATGATTTTTCGTTAAAATAAACAATACTGAAAGCTTCTGTTAAAGTTACTTTTGGAATATATGGATGGGCACGTCCTGCTTTCCTGGCAAACCACATGGTGATTATTGCGGTAATCGTAGCAGTTACAAGAGAAATTTTTGGTTGTGACGAAAATACCGATGGTATATCATGTGTTTTTATGCAAGTGGTGGAAAATTTTAATTTTTAAGTTATTAAACTTTTAACACACATAACTCACCGTTTGTATAGAAACACGTGGTATACCACCTCGTATGACGGTCACACTAAAAAATCTCTTTAGTTATAAGTACCGACATCATGTGGCCCATTGGGCTTTTTTGCCCAACCACTTTTTCTGCACCTTGATATAATTACCCTTGTTTTTCCTGTCTTTTTACTTTATCGTGTTTTTCCCCCACCAGTTGCAACAACCATTCAAAACCAATACATTCAAAGTGGCTAAAAACATTTTTAGAGAAAATATTTTTAAATTTCAAAAACACTTAAAGTGCATCTAGCAAGAGTACTAGTTATGTACTTCTTACAAGAAAAACGTTAAGTGCTTTTACATGATTTACTTGTATATTTAACAAATATTAGTTACAAAAACATTTTCACCAAAAGTGTTTTTACCCATTTAAAAAGCACTTCCGAACAAGCACATAGTCTCTTTGCAATCGAATTGAACAACTATTTTTTTTAAGAGTTACACTACTTGAGAATGTAATTGTTTTATCTAAAATTAAAAAAAAAATTATGTAGATTAGAGTTTCATAAGTCATACAAAGAAGCAAATGATATTCACTTACAAATGATATCATAGCATTTATTCTCAAATCATGTTTAATCTAAGCATAAAACTGAAATTTAGGCACTAAAAAGCTAAAGATTGACTTTAAAGTGCGGACACCAAATTCTTAATCTTTCTTTTCCCGTTGACACAATCGAAACCGCAACCACAGGTCGGACTCTCATAGAAATTACTGACCGGAAAGTTTGCGGAGCCGATGCCGACCGAGAATTTTAGCTCATCGTCGTCACGAGTCACGGTGGTAATGCTCAGCCACAGAAAGAGCACCTTAACTTGGATGCCACTCAAGCTTGAGATCTTGTCGGTCTTTATCACACCCTTTATGGTGGACTTGTACTTCAACTTATACGAGTCGATGGAAAATGTACAAGTGCTATTCAAGTAGACTGAGAACTTACCTGTGGAGCTGTCCAGCTTGTAGCTCAGTGCGCCTTTGGGGAGAATGCCGACCGGGAAGTCGTACTCCTCGAGGGCTTCGTAAACCGTCAGCACGTCGGCGGCGAAGGACGACGGGATTGAGATGGAGATCAGAAAGAAGAGAATTAGGCCTGGTAGCAGCGTTGCCTTTGGAGACATGGTTTGATGAAGTGTTTGACCGTTTGGTTATGCTGGTTATGCAGTCTGTAATATATAGAGAGAATATTGAAAGGCAAAACCAAGAGCATTCCATCTACTACGTTTGTCCAACAAACATTCTTGCATACAACAAAGCCAATCTCTCGTTAACAGAAGACTCGGCGTAAAGCTGAACTCATTGGCGTTATAGAATTCATAGGCGGAGTCGTGAAGGGATCACAATGGTCCCAAGCCCATCCTGACATTTTTTTCACGTAGAAAAATTTAGTACTGTGCTAATGATTTCAAGGTTTTTAGTTTATTTCTTTCTTCGGATTTGATTTGAGAGTTGTAGCTCTTATAGAGTTCAAGCAATCCGTTGCTAGTGAGATTTGAGGAGGAAGGAGAGAGGAAGAAAATAAGAAGGGCTTGAGATTTAGATTCAAGGAAGAGCTAGGACGAACAGGACGACACATTAGCAGACCAAAACGATCGCGGCCGGTTGCTCACCACATGATAAAGTATTTTTTTTGCAAGTAGGAGAGCAGATTGAGATTTTTGGGCATCTTCTAGGCTAAAATTCTGTCTCCGTCACTACTAAGATTCATACAGTCAACCTCACTTAGTAGGATAAAACTTTGATTATTGTTTTTGTAAAAACGAGATTTGAAGAGGGGAATTGAACACACGACGCCAAGTGCAAAATAAAACGCTATTAACTACTTGAGCTATAAGCCCGTTGCTCTCATACACAAATTATATTTGTTATTACGTATGCAAGCATTAAAGCACTGTATTGTATCATGAACATCATTTAAAGCATGCTGAAACATTTTACGGCTAATTAACGAAACATCTACATAGAGCTAGCTCTACTCTTACAATCAAATCCACACCCGCACTGCGGACTCTCCACAAAGTTGTCGATCGTGAAGTCCGCCGAAGCAATCCCCACGGAGAATTCCAGTTCGTCTCCATCGCGAACCACCTCGACAATGTTGAGCCAAAAGAAGAGTACCTTAACACTGACGCCCTGCAAATCTTTGAGCCTGTCCTTGGACAAAACACCAGTTATGGTGGATTTGTACCTGAGCTGGTAAGAATTTTCAATGGAGAAGCCGCATGCTCCGTCAAAATACGCCTTGAAATTGCCAGACTCTCTGTCGAATTCGTACCCTGTCACTCCTTTGGGAAGAAGGCCGATCGGGAAGCCGTATTCTTGAAGCACCTCATAGGCTGATGGCCCGTCGTCACCGTAGGCGAACGACGATGAGAGAACGACCACGAGAACGGCGACGGGAAACACCGACGACGGAGCCATGAGTTCCAGATCGAAGCTTTCTTGCAGCTTTTTTTTGTTTTTTTGGTGGAAGAAGTGAGCTATGGGAACAGAAGGGACATATATGTAATTAACTATTTATCGATGTTGAGCGTGGGAAAATGCTATATATAAGTTTTGCTTGTCACCATTCTCATCAGAGGTTTTCAATGCATGACGTTTATCCTTTTGTCGTGTAAAGTGTGGTGGTAGTAAATTTGGAAACGTCTCCTATTCTTTTGCTGGGGATCCGAAGATGACGTACATCATACGATCAAATTTTTTTTAAAATTTTAAATTTTAAATTAAATATAAATAGTACTTAACGAAAACTGATCGCACGATATACAATGAACAAATATACGAGGATCCTTTTCCTTAAATTCCACACTACTCTTAGCTGCGCTTTTCCTAAAGCCTACAGGGTGCCACGTAGGGGTTGAGATCATTCTTGTCGGATAATGTCAGTTGTACGGAAAAAATTTAGTTGTGATGGAAACATGGATAGTATATTATGTGTTTTTATGCAAGTGGTGGAAATTTTTAATTTTTAAGGTATTAACCTTTTAACACATATAACCCACAATTTATGGACACGTGATGTACCACTTTGTGTGACAGAAACACTGAAAAATCTCTCTAGTCGTACGACTAATACATCAACAGTAAAGGTGATAAAGTTTGGTTTGGAGAAAAAAAAGCTATATTCATTTCCATGATTATGAAAATTAACAATATCTATCATGCAAATTAACTATCAGGGATTACTCATAATTATATTTACCAAGTAACAAGTTTTCCATCAGTTCATGTTTATATCTGCCTTCGTCGATGCAAAATAATTATTCGCTCAACTGAAACATTATAATTTAATAGCTACTAACCCCATTATTAGCTAATTACATCCAAATATCAAAAACATAACCATTAAGGCAAATTAGTCCTATGAAAAAAAAAAAGATGACAAAAATGGATTCCTCGTAGGTTCACGATTATATCCATATTCGTCAATGAAAATTAACTATTTGTTCAACTGAATAAAGGGTAAAATGAATAGTATTATGATTGACTTTTTAATGTAAAAATATGGTTTTTCGTTAAAGTGAACAGTACCGGGTGCTTTTCGTTAAAATTCCCTTAAAATTTAAGGAAAACTAATGAAAATGACTTGAAAACTTTGAATTTTAATGATAAGGACAAAATAAAGGGTAAAGTGAATAGTACCATGATTGACTTTTTACTTTAAAAATATGATTTTTCGTTAAAGTAAACAGTACCGAGTGCTTTTCGTTAAAGTTCCCTATAATTTAACAGCTACTAACCCCGTCATTAGAAATCCACGACTAAATCATCAAAAACATAATAATACTTTGTTCATGATAAGCCACGTATGATACTATGATAGCAAATTAAGGCAAATTAGTTCTATGAAAAGAAAAAAAATTGATTACAAAAGCAAATATTTGTGAATATTAAATTATATATACTATACGGTTTGAATGCGGGGACCTTTATAATCAGGGACTCCTATAACTATATTATAAATCGTAACCAAATAATATTCATAGTTTTTTCCATATCTCGAATTTTTATCCATGTATCTGTACATTCAGACAATTATTCACGATTATCGAGTTTAACCGGTTGAATTACCTTCCCTAACCATCACTTCGGCACACTTCTGCATTTCTGTCCCACCCGTAAAGCACCCATACTTGCTCAATAGGATTGAAAGTTAGGGGTGGCAAGTGTAACATCTATGCAGACGCATGCATGGTTGTCAGCTGAGAGTGATTGGGGAGAGTAAATTTTTGCTCACAATTCCAAGTAGTAGTAATGCTATCACTCTCAAATAGTAGTAATGTTCACCACTTTATTTATAATTGTTGAATGAGTTTAAATTTTGAGATATGTCCCTCGGTTCACCACTCAAATCTCAAAATTTAAACTCATCTAACGGTGAAAATGAACACATTCAACATGGTAGAACCATACAGCTCCTCATTCAAGAACTCGATTGTTATCGATCACTCTCATGCGAGAGTGAGAATCTACCAAATCCTTGTAACCGAAAAACAAAAGGCCGTATCACATTAGAACTAAGAGAGTTGGGAACTGGTCTGTACAACAGTGAACTGAGCTCTACGATAAAGAAAATAGCATCGTCAACATAGTTCCGGTTCCATTTAGAACCGATAGAAAATGGTAGATGACAGCAAAATCGTAAGACAAAGACTAAAGCAAGGTAGTTCAAGCAACAAAAAAGCATCGATATCACGACTATTTTTCAGTGTAGATTTTTAGTCATGGTGAGCAGAAACAAGAATTTGAAAGCACTATAGACATCTCGCAGTCAAAAAAACCGGTAAGCTAGTGTAGATAACCAACTATCGGAAAACTAAGAGAAAAGGAGCGCTTGTAACTTACAAACATAGAAGGCAGCGATTTATAATTTTTCCCGTGACAAAAGTTACTGCTGTTGCTGCATCTTCTAACCTCTCAAAACACTCATCCTTTGAGAAATTATGCCATCTGCAAATAATATGTAGCAGGAAGAAAATCTTGACATAAGATCCAGCAACAAAAAAATCATCCCAAATGTAAGCACTGAAGCAGAACCGTATCAGTTTATAAGTTAAACGAGACTAGCTCTGGTGGTAAGTGGAACAGTTAAAATCACAAGGTCATGGTTTATCCTATGGGCGTCCATATAGCCGATATAAGCTAAAATTTACATCAGGATACAAGCATACAGCATGATTTAGGTCCAAGACTAATGAGATTCACATCCTAATTCAAATAAGGAGGGTATATATTACATCAACAGAGCCGATACCAAGTGGTACTCGAAGTAATTGGGTTCCACGGAAAAGGGAGGAATCTTTCTTGTTGTCTGCCCCAAAAAAATTCAATTTTCATAGATATAATGCAAATCTTAAACCACTTCTAGAAAAGAAAGCGATACAACAACGAATGAGTAACTACGAGCCTGATACATTCAGAAGAATCTTTGCATGTCCCATGATATATTCCGAAGACAACAATTGGCATCCGCAAATAACAAAGTTAGCACCAAACAAAAAATGAAATAATTTCAATCACAATCAACAAGGGAAATTGTAGGGGAGGGGGAAAGGACAAGGATCATACGTACAACTATATAACAAAATCAACTCACATCCTTGAGTCTCTTAATCAATGCATCTAGAGATTTCTTCTGGGGGTTCTGCCTGCTTCCCCGGCTACCAAAGGTTCCAAATCGCCGCTCTGAAGGATCCCTCAACTTTTCTGAAATAAGCACTACTTTTCTGTAGTCCAAGGTATTGTAACTCCTCTCCCTGATTACCGGATTAAGAAAATTCTCTGGATGATTGCTTAAGAGTAAGTTAACTAATTGCCTCGACTCAGTAAGTGCCGTTTTCAACTGATTTGCTTCCTCATCTGAGAGTAGAGGAGCTTGATTATCTGCAAAAGATTCCAGTAATCGAATATCCACATCAATGCCCATAATTGCATGTACGGTAAACCTCTTAACTGTGTCCCCAAGTAAAGCCCCTATTATCTTCTCCGATATGTGAGAAAGGACATCTTGCAAAACTCGTTTGAGAACCTGAGGAGGCAATATTTGCTGAGCAGTGGAAACCAGAGTTTCCAAATAAATGATCACCTCATTCACATATTCATTCCCATTCGGCCAAGGCTCATCGGCCATCCAGTTCACATTCTCAATCAACGTCATGAACCCATCCACTTTTTGTTTAAGCAGCCCAGAGAGCGTGTCTTCTGCTGCATCACGGGCTTTGCATAGCGGAAACTGCCTCCGCCCCCTCTCTACCATTCTCAAGGGCACTCCAGAAAGCTGAGCAGCATGTCGGAAGAAGAAATCACAAGCTCGCTCCATGACAGCCATATTAGCGGCTACTTGCATTGCCTGGGAGACCCCATGGATAGATGTACTGATAAGCTTCAAAAGAGCCCCATCCAAAACCTCACTCAACAACCTATCCAAATACTTCTTCACAACATCAAAGAAATCAAGCTGCCCGCCATACGACATGAAACTCACAGAATCCTCAATAAAGGACCGAACAATGCGGCAACAATCAGGCACTGTCGAACTAAATGGTGCAACATATGGAAAAGCCGGTATGATATCAGACGTCTGTATCTGAAACGAAAGAACATTCATGGAATACTCATATTCTCTCTTCATCAACATCTGATCGAATTTGTCAGCCGAAAGAGCTTCAGCAATCTGTTTACGACAATCCGACAACAACAGCTCATGGTACTTATCCCTGTGTTTGCTTAGAACATCAAGCAACGGGTCAACCAAATATCCATACCGACGCAACGTCACACCTAACAAGCTCACATAGTCCTTAATCAACAGCAAATGGTTAGCAGTTTGCATCCTGGAAAACTGATCCTCTAAAACAGAACACATTTTACTCACAGCAGCTTCCCACAAATTATCAACCTCCAATTTCGAAATCAAACCGCCACCGGTCCTCACAATTCGATCCTCCACGATGAAAAATCCGGCGATTTGCGCAAAGAAAGTTTGATGCGATTCAAGAAACGGAGTCATGGAAGATACCTGAAAGTCAGAGGTGAGCTGAAGCTTTCGATTCTCGAAGTAATATTGCTTGAATCGGTCTTCAAGCCCCAGAGTCTGGTGTATATGATAGGCTCTGTACAAGGGAGTCAAATCAAATCCACCTCCGCCATTAAAACCATCATCTCCAACCCCACCGCCGCCGAGTCCGTCGTCGTCGTCCTCTTCCAAAGCGTAAACAGTGTCTCTGAGGCTGAGGCGGCTCTGCTCCTCAGCTTGCCGCTGCTTGATTCTCAGATCCTCTTCCCGCTGCCTCGCCGACGAAGCTTGACCGATCGCCAATTGACCGAGGTTCCGACTCACCACGCGGATCTCCACCAGCCAATCGCCGAACTCCTTACTGACCTTCCGTTCGATGTGCCACCGAATCTCTGGAATCTTCTTCTCCAGCATCCGCTTGAGCGTAGACGACGGCGTTTTGTCCAGGAACTCGGACTCGATTGTGTCGACGCACTTGAGGGCCATGTAGAAGTTGCTGCTGGAGAGATGGTGATTGGATCGGGAGCAGAGCTCCATCAAACGAATACAATTCCGGACCGATTCGAGCGCGAGGTTGACGTTTCGGGATACGTTTCGGGCTTCGACGAAGGCGTCGAGGGAGGAGAGAAGAGGGAGGCCGACGGACTGGAGCTTGGCGTTGGAATCGGAGAGGGAAGACTTGAGAGAATCGACGTCGGAGAGGAGAGATCGAAGGTCGTCGACGGCGAGGATGAAGTCTTGGTAGTGGGCCTTGCAGACCTCCTCGATTTCGGACTCCTTGGATCGGGAGAAGTGGCGAAGGTGCTGGAGCAGCGTCTCGGGCTTCCCGGAAGTGAAAGCCTTGCGGACGAAGGGGCCCACATCCTCGCCGTTGCAGATGGCGGAGGAGAGGAGCAGCTGGTCGAGCTTTTCAGCCGAGTCGCCGTTTTCCGCGGCGGACGGAGCCACTTTCCGCCGAGATTTCGTGGGCAGCATCGTGGCGATGAGAGAGAACAGGGCGCGGAGAGGATTTAGGAAAAATGGGAGAGAGAGAAAGAGAGAGGGGGTCGTTACATGGACATTTGGGGATTTTTTTTTGTTTGACGGAAATACCACCGAGAACGAGGGAAATATATGCATGAAGGTCAAGGCAGGTAGATGCTGGCGTTTGAAGATTGATGTGGGTAGTTTGGTAATTAGAAATTATGGTAGCATTCAACGGCGGTTCGGACAGAGGAGCGTCCGATGACTGAGGTGGTAATAGAGTGGACCAAGGTGACCGGAGGGACGACAATGAGAAAAACTCTGTCTAGTGTTAACCGTTAAACATCTTTTATTTTAATTTTTATCTGTCAGATCAAATGAATTAAGAATATTAAACGTTAGAAACTAATAAAAACGTGTGAGAGATAAAAATAAATGTGCAGATAACATCATCTTTGTTTAATAAACAATAATTCAATTATGTTTCGCATATTTTATACTTTAAGTTATTTGATCGTTAAATTTTTTATCAAAAACTTCCTAGTGTATGAAACCTTGAATCATATATTGAACAACTACCGGTAATTATCATTCAATATTGTAAGCAGAAAGGAAGAAACTTGTGTCGAATATACATTGTTTTGTGACACACTTAAAGTTATTTATGATTTTTGTTACGAATTATAATGTAAAAATACAGGAAGTTGGAGATCGAACTTTGATTTAAGGAACAATATAAGATTTGAGTTATATTGTTAGTAGTTCTTGTTAGTGTGCGATTGGTAAATACCTACGTAAACTCATACCATAACTGTAGTTAGGTGTGAGATCATTTCGACTCGAAAATTGTAGGTATGTCCTGACATTGATAGTAACAATCTCCTTCAAGACTTTTTGTTACAAAAAATTATATATATAGGGTTGGGTGGGTTTGGTTGGTTGGATTAGGTTGGATCGGGTCAGTTGGATTACAACAAACACCTGCATGTTTTATGGTATTTGGCGTCACCAATTTTACATGAAATTTATAAACCATGATTATAAGTGTCTTGGTTGCGTGGTATATTTCCTAATGTCATATTTTAACAAACAATTTTTTGTATTTATATGAATATTTGGTGTCACTTATAATGATAAGAAAGAAGCTGAAATGTGGTTGTGAGTCTTCTCGACTTCTAAACTGGTAGACTATTGTGGCTTGACCAGCTGGTTCCTTTGTAAAAGAAAAAAAAAAGAATATTTGTTGTTATATGCATTTTACATATAGTGAATTACACGACACGTCATGAGTTCGATTCTTAGCGCTGGTGAATCACACGATGATGGTCAGGAGAATATTGAAATGCCTTTAACTTCAAAAAAGATAGACTGCCGTAACGAAATCACCAACTGCTCATATCTTTTGTTAAGTTTCACCATCTCTCACTAGTTGGACAAATCCGAAGAACTATAATACCAAACAAACATGAAATAAAATTCCATGGTAACAAAAGTGATTAAAAAACATTAATAAAAGAAATGGAAATTACATATGGGCTCGTGGGCTTGAAGAACAATAAAAACAAACAAAGCCCAAAAACCCTTGAAAACTGAATAGGAAAAGCCCCATTTATATATAAAAACCTAAACACAGCACCATGTTCGGCTTTCCCTGCAAACAAACCCTACAACCCCCCGCCTCTCTGCCTCAAGAGCATCAAAGGAGCAGCCGTAATGGTAATCTCTCCCTCCAAACCTTAACGCCGCCGTCTCCATTTCCTCCTCCTCCGTCCCCTCTCTCTCTAACCCTCTCTCCTCCTCATGTCTGTATTCGCAGGGTATCGATTTGGTCGCCGGTGGCAAGAGCAAGAAGACCAAACGGACAGCCCCAAAGTCCGACGATATCTACCTCAAGCTCCTCGTCAAGGTCCTCCCTCGAATCCAAATGTTTCTGGGTTTTTGTTACTGATTGCGTTCGTGTCTCTGAATTGTTTTTTTTTTTTGTGGGTTTTATGTTGTTGGATCTGTGTTTTCAGCTGTATCGGTTTCTGGTGAGGAGGACCGGCAGCAAGTTCAATGCCGTGATTCTGAAGAGGTTGTTCATGAGCAAGGTGAACAAGGCCCCTCTGTCCCTTTCCCGATTGATTAAGTACATGACCGGAAAGGAGGGTAAGATTGCTGTGGTGGTCGGGACTGTGACCGATGACATTCGGGTTTACGAAGTTCCTTGTTTGAAAGTGACCGCTCTCAGGTTCACCGAGACCGCCAGGGCTCGGATTGAGAAGGCCGGCGGCGAGTGCTTGACTTTCGACCAGCTGGCTCTCAGAGCTCCTCTTGGCCAGAACACGGTATGTTGATTTTTTAGTTGCATTTGAATTGCCGTACATGTGAATTACAATCTCTAGGAGGATGTGTTAGATCTCGTTTGAATGTGCTTTTAAAATGACTTAAAACACTTTAAAAAAAAATGATCTTTCGATTACAAAAGCAATATAAATGCTTTCTACAAGAAGCACCACTTATGTGCATCTTCCAGGAAGCATTTTTATGTGTTTTTTCAGGATTTATTAGCATTTTTACTAAGGATTGTTTCCAAAAAAAATTTCACCAGAAATGCTTTCAGTCATTTTAAAAGCATATCCAAACGAGCTAGTCGTTGTTGAAATGACTTGAGAATTTGTGATTTGGTTTATCTTGGTTTCTAGTGTTTTAGTTGGAATTGAATGCTCTATTAAGCTCTTTTGTGTATAAGTCTGCACGAAAAACTTGCCTAGAAGTAGAATCTTTTGGAAAGTAGCATAATCTTGTAGTCTTTTAGTCATAAGCAATTTGAAATCGTGTTAGTGCTAGCATCGAACAATGGTTATATGTTTCAAACCTGTAGTAAATGTATGTTTCTGGGTTCAGAAATGGGTGCGTTTGTGTTTTGGGCTGTGCCCTTATTAGTAACGGATATGTTATGATGGCAATCGTATTGTGGTAGATAGTTTACCGGAGCTTTGATTAGTGGTCGTCGTGTAGTGGACTGTTTCATGGTGATGAGAATCATGAAATACGTGCCCCCGTATGTAGGAAACATATGGTAGTGAAGTGAAGTGAATAGAAGGTGCAAGAGAGTGGTGTGTAGAATTTTCAGCCATGAGCAATACTTTTGGTTTAATTATATGCTTGTGGAGTTTGCGAATTTGTTCCAATGTATTCTAACATAGCAAATCAACAAGAGTATTTTGTTTTGTAAAACGAGACTCATTCCCTTAGGCCGTTCTATGTTCTGATAGATCTGTTTGATGATAGAGTTACGTTGATTGATAAATGTTAATCTTTTTCGGCAGATTCTTCTTAGAGGACCTAAGAATGCTCGTGAAGCTGTGAAGCATTTTGGACCTGCTCCTGGTGTTCCACACAGCCACACCAAACCCTATGTGCGATCAAAGGGCAGGAAGTTCGAGAAGGCCAGAGGAAAGAGAAACAGCAAGGGTTTCCGTGTTTAAGCATGAGTTATCTCCTTATTCTCAGTCGTGTTTTCTTCACTTTTTGTGTTTGATGAACACTCTTATGGTATCGATAGCTTACCTTCATCTATATTTCCTTGTGTCTACGATGTTTAGATGTTTGAAGGAGATGTTTAGATGTTTGAAGGAGATGTTGAGATTTTGTTGAAATTCGATTTTGGTTCTCAACCGTGCTTGATTACTATTCTTCGTATAGCAATTACCATATTCGAAATTACAGATAACAATAGAACTTTAACGAAAAGCTTCCGGTATTGTTGAAATGAAAAAAAAAAGAACCTCCGGCGCGATAATATCCTACCTTGCCCCCCATAATCGACAATGATGATGAATTTCTTTTCATTGGATCCCTAGATTGGTTTCGTCTTGATCAGGCTGTGTTTCTGGCATATTGAAAAAACTCTTTGTAATCGCTATGAATGACGAGAGGGTAAGGTAGGTGCCCTAGCAGTCCGATTAGCGTAACAGAAAAATGAGGCCAGAAGCATGATTGAATCTAGACCGAGCTCTTTATTTTCATTATTACATGATGGGGATGATTATTACAGAAGCCGGAAACCACAAGGACGAAATTATTCGAGATAAGGAGCACAACACCATAAGGTCGCACCGTATTTCAGACATCATCACGCCTAACCTGTAATTGCGTAGAAGTAACTGCAAAGCGAAACAAACTGCGGGAAGGCGGCTTGCTGATCTAGCTAACAGAAATCAGAACTTCTTGATGAAGTCGTACACATGCTGACTGACTTCGTCGGGCTTCTCCTGGGCAATGAAGTGAGCTGCACCTTCCATCACAACCACCTCTTGCAAAAATGGCACATCCCTTTTGAAGCCACCTTTATGTATGTAGGCCTGGACGCCTGGGATATTGTAGGTGACGTCCAGCTCGCCCACGATAAACTTAACCGGTACCTTGATTTGTAGCCCTGTCCATGGTCCGGTAAGCTCCCAGGTTCTGCAACAACGAAGAAAATACGAAATTATTTCCAGTCTAAGATCATGCTTTGATAAATCAAAGAGAATTCAAAGGGGTATGTGGTATGTACATACAAGTTCAAAGCTCGATAGTAATTCAATCCTCCAGTAAATCCCGACTTGCTGAACTTGCTGACAATATAGTTAAGATCCTCTTCTGTCAGCCAAGCGGGCAAGGTTACTGGAGCAGCCCAAGATTTTAATCCTTGGTCCTTAGGTATGCATGGAGGTTTTGGACTGCGGCTGGTGAGAAAACGTTTCATGACCGCTGCAGTACCAATGCTATCAAAATCTCGTTCGATCTCTTCGGGTTCCTATAACACAAACAACAATTTTTTAACAAAATCAGGAACAAATTTTAACATATTCAGTCCTTCACATTAACAGGGATTACAAATTAGTCCCGATGGGTCAGATTAATTAATCAGCAACTGTCTTTAGCCGACGGATTTTCAGCATTGAAAATACTCCAAAACGTGAATATATGAATTGGCTATGATAACGCAATATTCTATTCCAAAGTAATCTAAACTACAGGAAGAGGGATTCAAACTTGTTTCCATTGGGAGCACATCCGCCAACGTCTGCAAACCAAGATTATATAACAAAACAACAGCAATCAGTAAATCTGATTGCCTACGAATACTAAATACAGTAAACTGCGTATGACATCAAAGTTACACCATAAAGGGTGATCCCAAGCCAACAAGGCTCCCTACTTTGCGAAGGTCAAGGGAAACGTGCACAGACCTACCCTTGCTTTGCACTGCAAAGAGGTTGTTTCCACGACTCGAACCTGTTACCTTTAT